ATAACAATAACTTTTTTTGTTATTTGTTATTGATAACAATAACTTTTCTTGTTATTGTTATTAATAACAAAAAATAACAATAACTTCTCACCCCTAGTTTATGATAGTTTATTAGCATATAATTAGGAATATATGATTATAGTTAGTGTAGTACAATATATAACTATGAACATAATTTTATTTCTTCTTTCCAATTGTTTTTAAAGGCATATATAAAGTAATATTCTTTGTTTTCATGCTCATTGAAAGTGGCCAATAGTATTTTCACCATCGCATCCAGATGTTGACTATAAAATCTGAGAAGGAGGAAACTGATCATGTGCATTTAATTTCTTGTTTTAGTCCAATTCATGATAACAGATAACATTATGAGAAAGTCATTTGTATCACTGTTAAAAGCTAGAGTAAGAAAAGAGTTCGAATCAATACACTACGTTTCTTCCTCCATATATACTTTACAGACCAACTTGGATCAGACTTGGAACAGGTCCGAATTTTTCGAATCAGACCAGACCAGCCGGCCACAATTCTTAACTTGATCTGCAAAAAATGGGTGCTGCATGTATCAATTTACCAATCAGTTCTAGAGAGACAAGCAATATGGAACTCATATAATTCTTGGAGCGTCTAATAATTGGCAACAACTTATTTTTAGTCTGTCACGCATAGTATGCTAATGCGAAGGATGAACCAAAATTTCTTTCAAAAAATTTCGACTATAAACTCACACGAGCTAACATTCATCAACAGCTGAGTATCCTTTGGGTTTTTTCTAATAATGATACGACTTCTTTACAACTGATATGTTCGTTCTATTTTTATTTGAAGTACTTACCTACTTAACACAGTTGAAAAGTATTTCAATCCTTAAAGAGAACACTACTGTAGAGAGAAAAATAAGATGAGCTAATACCTATGGCTTTTAGATTAGAATTCCTATATAAGGTTTATTAATCTGTCAGTAATATCGTGGCTGCATGATGCCAATAGTTAGAAAGACCTTGGCAACAGAAATGATCTTTTTAAAAATTTCCTTATGAAAGCATGAACTGAGTATTTGTGGCTATTCAGATTTTATGAGAGTTGACTAAAATTACTCCAAAACAGTGAGCCTAAAGTTTCAGCATGAGACATGTTTTATTTAGGCCCACATCAATCCATAAAATTTGGCTGACTTCTGGTGAGTATAATGAATTCATTCAACATGATATGGAGGTCTAATCGTAGAAGAAGAAACGGTTGGTGACTATTTAGGGTTGGGATTGTGAATATGATTGAAATTGTATCACTGAAAAACTTTTATGTTCGTAGCACTTGACCATTGACAACGTAAAAATCTTTAAAAACAAGTAAGCTTTTGCACCAAACAAACTCTACAAAAGACCGGTGAAGACCGGCCGGTCCAGTTCTAAATCTGTCATTCACTACCTATCTTTAATCTACGAAAGATAAACAATAAATACATCAAAAGAGAAAGCAAATTATTCAATAAATATTAAATTCATTCTTGAAGATACAAATTCTTTGTGTTTATCACTTTAACGTAGGACTGCACTATAAACTGTCAATGTACCACTGCTTATTGGGTAAAAACCAATAAACAATAAAGTTCGAGGCTAAACTTTCGGAATTGTATAGCGATGTGAAATTAATGTAGTACTGATTTCATATTATGTCTATCTCACCTCTCATACTTGAGTTTTTAAATACCAGCATGATATTTTGGTTTGTTGTAACATCTATAGAACAAGGATACACCATCTCCTAAAAATGACAAAAAACGGTGAAAAACCAGCCCATCTCGAAACTTGGACCGAACCGGCAACCGGCAGATCCAGGGTGTGAGTTTTATTTTTATATACTCAGGGTGGGCTGTGTGGTGTGGGCGTGGATGTGTGAGTGTGGAGTGTGTGTGGGTGTGGGTGGGTGTGGGTGGGTATGGGTGTGTGGGGTGTGGATGTGCATTTTTTCCAACGATGTTCACACTCACACCCAAAATGAATGCTTCTAATAGAAATCTAATAGAGGTAGCTCAATTACTTGTTGTTTGTTCGAGAAACGTGTAAAATGATGTTTCCGTTTTTCAAATAGCATGTCACGAAGTATCAAATTTGTTGGTTGATCGATTTAGAACGAACAAAAGGAATCCTTCATATAAATCATGAAGCAGTGCTCCATTCTAGAGGAAAGTCATCATCCTCTCAGCATCATCCAATTTTGAGAAGTTCTCCTTTTTTTCTAAGCACATTTTTAACTTTTTTCTTAGTTTTTCCCTCCTCAACTAGGAACACACAGGTCATTTTTAATTGTATTCCTCTGTCTGTGCTACACGATACATCCCAGAAACTTGAGCACTTACTTTTCCGGTAAGAAGTGATTTCTTGTTCCAATAAAGGGATGTTTGCAAATACTCATCAAAAATTTGGGATATGCCGAAGGATCAAATCGATAATAATGTAGAAACCTACGGTGAAGATCAGCGTATACGTACCACCGAATACATAGAGCCCAAGCCATCTAAATAATGGTAGAAACCGGTGAACACCGTAGGTTGTCATGGTTCCGAATTATGAGTATTGACCTCAACAGTGATAGTCGAAGATTTATCCATGAAAAGCAACGTTAGGGCAAATGAAACATCTTTCGTACCTGGCCGTAAGAATCAGGCTAACAAAAGATCGATAGAACCATGAAAATCTATGGTGATGACTGCAAGATTGGCATTACTGGTTATCCTGAGCGTCAACACATCCGAATATTGACAGAAACGGGTCATCACCGTAAGTTCCTGATGTCCCAATCGACAGTATTAGTCTTCATGAGAATTCTCAAAACTATACAACTAACGTCAGTGCGGTAGTCGTCAAGGTATCACTGTGGAGAAAGAAAGTAGACGATAATGATGTTGTGTAAGAAATACGAGGATTTATCTCTGCCGCTCGAATGATCACTTTCCGATAATGAGATGATAAGAGTCACTTTTGATTGGAATCAATGCAATTCTAGTCACTTTAATCGTAGTACATTACACCCGGTGCTGACGGTTCACCGTATAACTGCGGGGCTGGTAACCACCACGATCGTCGCATCCCTACTCTTGTTGAATCAGTAGTTGATAAAGTTTATAACTCAAAATCATTTAGGATGTATGTGTGAAAAGTAATTGGATATTTCTTATTTTCATAAGGAGTAACAACGTTCAGAACGCCATCAAAGACGATAGTTAGCAATTCTCAAACGGCGGAAATGACAACTAGTAAGCAGGCAGTATTGTTTTCAATAAGACAAATTATCTAAGTACGAAGTTTTCTCATGATAAGACTGTCTCAATACTTTATAGATAGGACATTTCACAACTTTAATAGCACTTTTGTTATGAATACAACATTAACGATGAGTAGTTCGCTCAATGCTGCTATGCCAAATGAGTATCTTGATTTTTTCGAATCAAAACTGACTTTTCGAGAAAAAAAGTGTAATTAATGAATCGCCATACGAGTCAAAGTTTATATAGTTGATTGTCCAATAGAAGATTGCATTATTCTTCAACGTTTTACTCCCATATTTTATCACATTTAATAATCTACCCGATCGAAATATAGCATCGGTTCGTACCATTTTATGAGTTATGATGTCATATATGCTACATCTGCATTTCAAAAATGACACAACAAATTAGGGTGTAAATGTTGGAATGATTATCTAAATTCACACATAAATCCACCCGCACCCACACGCAATGGACACTCTTCTTACCTAGGCTCACACCCAAACTCAAATGTTCATTGCTAAATTGTTGTTTTTACGCTACAATACAATATATTTTTTATATCTCCAACTAAGCCAATAGCCGTTAAAAATTGTAGACATAGATGTAGAACATGAGAGTGTATTCTTGGCTTGGGAGAGGGAGAAGGGGAGAATTGAAACATGAATTACATTATTAAAAAAAAAAGATCAATATGAAAAGAATCTGAATGTGAATCTCTATGACGATTCAAATAACATAAAGAGCATAAAGACTGTTTGCTGGTTTTAATTTGCATTTATTAGTTCACCCGCTTGAACCAACGACACGCTTTGACCGCACCACAAGTCATTTCCTATAATGAAGTATTAGAAATATGATTAAAACAGCACTCACTTACCACTTGTTGTAGTCCTTGATCATCAACAAAACGCGTAACAACCGTTTCCTTTACCTTTGTGTCGGTTATTTTCTGAATCCACTTTCCAGTTTCAAAAAGAATGAGTGTCTAAAAACAAGCATTTAGAAGAAAAGAAGAATCAATGTAGATGCAAGCATGTCATATTAGAAATGCCACACAAGAAAATTCATCTGCACTTCCTGTCCACCAGGAGTGGTATCTGTAAATTCGACACCAGGAGTAAAACTAGTAGTTTGAGTTTTAAATGCTGTCTCAGTACGTATTGTCCAGACATCATCGTTTTTACTGATTGCTACACGTGGATTCGAACGTTTTGCTATCATACGAATAAGCATAGGAACATCCACCTCTTTCAAGAAGTCATCCACATTTTCACTGCGAGCCTGAAAGAATAGAATGCAACACGATAGTATGGTGATATGAGAATAATAAAGATCATTTGTAGTATTTACATGATCCCATGTTCCTATGAGCGATTCAATACTGTTGCACTAGTCATATCTTCCTAAAAATAGTGCAATAAAGCAAGACACGAAATTTACAAGAAAACTCGTATTTATTTTCTTT